GAGTGATTGAATAATAACAAAATGAGAAAACGCAATGTTTTTTCACGTCAACCCCATCAATAATTCACCAGATAATCTCTAAAAAGTGAATTTTACACAAAAGGGCGCTCGTCCCTAATTAAATATTCTCTTTTAATCACCTCTGTAATCGGTGAGAGAACTTCACTTCCGCAATTGTTATTGAATATTTATCCCTGTGTATATGAAAGGTTGAATAATAAATGTAGAGTAGTGAGAAGGTCGGGAGAAGCCTCGAACGAGTTGAACAGTCCATTGCAATGACTTCAATACGTGGCCTGTAACTCGGTGCAATGCACCTCTCGTCCAGCAGAAAAGCGTCGCAGTGCAACAACAAACTATATAACAAAACGAGACCCACGGAGAAAGTTAATTTTCACATGGACGTTGAACTTATCGCCGTATTAGATGCTACAGGACGTTAACATTAACCAATATGACCATCACAATTCGAGCTGGTGAATGCGCTGAAAAGTTCTTCCCTGATTATTCATTTAAGATTGTTGTCTCGCAACAATTTCTGTAATAAACAATTCACCCCCGGTAAAACTGCCCAGACTAAAGGACAATCTTTTGACAGTAAATATGTAGATCATCAGCTAAAATGTACGCTAACTATATACTGACCATTATAACTATTCGTAATTATCTAAATTTATGAACTTTCTGTAATTATTCCTCGAAGACAAAATGGTCAAACGATTTTAATTTTTTTTTCGCTGTATTCAATGATGCGGGTTCTACCGCAAACAATTTTTATTCAAGAAAACTATCGAACCATTGATTAATAAAAATTGTTGCGTATTACCTAATTTAAAAAATTTCTATCTCAAGTTCAAAATGGATAATCTCAATTTCTTTCAAGCAGAAAGTGATCGTTTTGCAACATTTTTTAAACTATTCACCATGACAATTTAAATAAAAACTGTTGAGCTAATATTTTAGACAACTTTGACATGAGACGTGAACACGTGAGATGAAGGGACACATGAGAGGGAGAGGTATCCATGTTCGACTTAACGTCGAGCTATTATGCTATATACAAAGCACAATCATTATTCAGGCCCCGTTTTACCAGGCACGATTATATGCACACGTGCAGCGGGAACGTTTGAGATTTTTTTCAACATCCCAGGGAAGAAATTTATAGAGCTGCGAGGCGACGTCGATGAAAAAAAAATTAATGAAATGTGGGGACGCCTCGTCTGGTATTCAACGACCTGGGAAATTTGAAAAGTCGCTTTCCCCGGACAACTTCCGTGGTAATCATCTCGCTGAATGATGGAAAGTTTCTCGATTCGCCATTGGAGAATATTCTTTTTGAGGATATTGCGAAATTTATCAAAATTCGGCGTGAAATCTACATTATTACAAAATTACACACTGAGAGATAAAATTTGTGTTAATATCCAGAATACGTATCTTCACGTTTTTTTTTTTTTTTTCATTTTTATGACAAACGATTATTTATTTCCGACAAATTGTTAGCTTCCACTCTTGATAACAGAGACAAAGATAAATTGAAGGAAGACTATCTGTCCCGGTCCAACAGAATCTATTACATGTTGAAATATTAATTCCCATAATGTCATATTATTTTTAATTATCTTTGTTTCCTCTAACAAGATCTCAAACCCAACGCAGATGCAGCTGGACCCCAGCCAAAAGCCATAAATATCTCCGAACTGACGTAACGACCCTTAAAACGATAGATGTACTAATGACATCATCAAAGTTATCTGGCATTACACTGATAACGATTGAGCTCAAAGAGAAAAAAAAAATACCCGACCTTCGTCAGATCGTTAACAGTCGACCCATCAGCCGCATTGTTTGCAAATAAAAAAAACCCACGATTGTGTTAACCCACGATTCCAAATGAACTTGATTACCAACACAATGGACAGATGTCGAGACTTTGCGATTAGCCACAATGCGATTGAAATGCTCCTTCGCCAATCAGATTTTTTAATTCCCTCATTTCTTCTGAACTACCCACTGGTCTCTGCTAATGCATGACGTGGTCCACCTGCTTTGGATTAGAATTGTTGAACTGAAAAATGTTAATTAAAAAAAAACCACGTGAATGGTGAATTTTTTTAAACTGGATATAACCAGTTGCATCTAACACACATTCTAGCTGGATTTTCGCATTAGCGTGGGCGCAAGAGTCTATATGAGCTCTGGAATAAACTCAAGTTAGAGTTTGTCGGATAGATCTGCACATACAAAACTCGTGCGTGAGTTCTCCAGGGAGGAATGGCGGTACCGGTTTTCAGCTGGATAAAAAAGAGACAATGCTGCTGCTGTGACCTTAACGAATATGGTCTGAGCAAGATTCTATTTCTCTCAGTCTCCTCGACCACTTCTACAGCACTTTGATTTCCCCATCCTCGTGGTTTATATAGGATCACCGATGAGATTGAGAACGAATGAAATTAATTGATCATGAAGAGAGGAGTGAATTATTCCCTTGGAACACGTGGAATTGTTCAATTTAGTTAAATCACGTGATTTCAACTCTGGGATTGTATCTCAAGTCGTGCAAATTATTTCAAAAGGATGTCAGATAGAGCGACTTCAATTACTCCACTGGTCGAGAATTATATTTGCAATTTTAAGGGGAAATAGATGAAATCTTTTACTGCCACTAGGCGATTTGGAATTTGGGGGGAATTCGCAATTGACGAATCAGTTGATTTTTTGGTGTAATACTCTTTTTTCAAGTGTGATACTGGATAATCGGGAAAATATCGAAAATTCAAGCAATACATTCCCGGAATTGGATATTTGTTCAATATTCAATATATATTTGATTTTGAATTTTCACGATGAGCAGGGAACCGCGACTTTTCATTGATAAATCAATTATCATTTAATATGAAAAACTCATTTTTCTCTTAATTTTCACTATGAGAAATTCTGTGGCCCCTTTTAACTGGAATTAAATTCAAGCTGATACAATAAAAAATTATGAATCGGTCGTACAATCAGTGAAATTTGAACACTCGAAAATTCTGTTATAAAATAAGACTGAAATTCCTCAAAATCTTACACTTGAAATTTCAAAAAATAATCCGCAATTCAACTGAGAGAGGTAAATTGATAGAAATCATGGAAATCCGCTTAAATATTCTTCAACCCTCAATAACTTTTAATAACAAATGAAAATAATCTGCAATTTGTAATTTTCCTGCTGCTAAAAACTCTCCAATAGCCTGGAATTTTCATCTAGAATCGAATTCAACGATGTTCCCCTGAAAATTGGTAGTCAATTGTCCATGAAATTTCAATTTTTTTTCTAATATATATCTGCAGGACTGACAATAACTGCCATTGACTAATCCTCCAAATCCTTGCAGAATGCTGTAAAGATGCCGTCCCTGTTGGAGGCCCTCGAGTTGAAATACGGCAGTACAACAAATGACTGCTCAGAGTGTTCCCTGACCGACGAAGAAACCGAGTTGTCTGGTTCACCAAAAACAGCACTGTCCGTCAGCATATTCATCCCAAAAAAATCACCACGTCATACAGTGCCAGCACTCCTTGTCCTCCAGGATTGTGACATTGAGTGTGCGGGTAATGACGCGGAAAAACTCAAGAATAAATGTAAAAATGTGGAAGAACTGGACCTTGCGCAGAATAAATTGTCACAGTGGGACGAGGTGTTCGGTATACTCGAGCACATGCCCAAAATTAAATTCGTTAATTTGAGTTTTAATAGTCTCGCTGAGGAACTTGAGGTCAAGCGAGGAAGGTTCGAGTCCCTGAGGAATCTCGTGTTAAACGGCACCAGAGTACCTTGGACAACGGTCCAGGACCTTGTCAGACTGCTCACCAATTTGGAAGAGCTCCATTTATCCTTGAACGAGTTCAAAACCGTCGATCTCGATCACAGAAACCCAGAGAACGTCAACAGATCCCTGAAGAAGCTTCATTTTACAGGAAATCCCATAGAGTCCTGGTGTGAAATATCAAAACTGGGATACGCCTTTCCTATTTTGGAGAGCCTAGTGCTCGCTGAATGTCCCATCAGGTCTCTTGCTCTCGAGGACAACAGAAACTACGATGATACAAATTTGTGCCAAAGCAAGGGCTCCAGCGAGAGATCTGAGGATGAGAATGAAAATGTCGAGAGACATGTCAAGGAGTCAGCGAATGGAGTTGAAGAGAGGATATTTGGGGATGAGAAGAGTTATAACAGATCTGAGAGTGAGTGCGAGAGCAGTGGAAATAAGGTGGGTACATCACATGATCCATTCAGGATGCTGAGGTTTCTCAATGTCAATGGGACTCTGCTGTCCACTTGGGATGACGTAGAGAGACTCGCGAGATTTCCTGCAATGAAGGCCCTCAGAATGCAGGGCTGCCCCTTGTTCGAGGTGAGATATTTATTTTAATGGGGATTTTAATGAGGTTAATCATTTTTTACATCTACTTTTTCAGAGCCCACGTGAGTACACTGAGCACGAGAGACGACAATTGCTCATTGCCAGACTTCCTAATGTGGAAACACTCAATGGTGGAGGAGTCATTTCCTCGCAGGAGCGCGAGGACGCTGAGAGGGCATTCATCAGGTATTATATGGATAAACCAGAAGCTGATAGGCCGGAAAGGTTTGTATCCGTAGACAGACAGAGTCAATGATTTTAATTAACGTTATTATCAGGAAACAGTCAATCGAACTATCAAAGTGAATCAATAATAATACAAATAATAGTTCGTGCAAAATAGATAATGAAATTCCTGCCAGTAATGGGAAAATCTGGATTCTTAATTTAAAATTTTCTCAACTCTTGAAATTCTTTTAAAATTGGGAACTATTCTACTCCCAAGTACAAAGTACTATTGGACTCAGCACTAATTATGCGTAGAACGCAATTGAAGTGGTCTTGAATGTTCATTAATTTTTTCAAATTTCTTCAATGTCTATTAATGAGTTTTTTTATAGAAATTTCTGAGAAACGGCTGATGAGATTGACGGGAAAAAATATACGCATTGATGTGAAAGAAGTTTCCTACGCGCGCAATAAAATTGTTTCGCGTTAATCTGATCCACTGTTTGTCAAAAATTTATTTGAGAAACGTGAAAATGAGAAAATATCGGCATTAACTCCTTAACAGAAAGTAGAATAGTGTCTGGCTGATTAGCAAAGTAATGAGACTTTCTAAATTTGACCTGAATTCATCGATGATCTCATAAATAACACTCAAGACAAATGATATCGATAATCATTGACACTCGAAGTTTTCGAGTCCCTGAATAAAAAACGGTAGCCAATTAACAATTTCTTTTGGGCGTAAATGAGTAAAAGCCTTCGCCTTCGTCGTAATTGACAACTTTTATTATTAGAAACCTCACAATATATAGTATAAGATGAATGAGACTATGGATGATGATTGATACCAGAAATGAATTTTCTTGCTTGCGCAGCAAAAATTTATTTTGTGAACTGGTAATTTTCAAAGTGCGACTGTTTCCGTTGAATGCGACTCATTTAAGAAGATAACTCAACGAGAGACGAATGAATCAATCAATATACGATTGAAGTTCATGACTTTTAATGAATCCAACGGCGCTGAATTAATTGCTATAATGAATATTACCAGTCATTCATCGAGATGAAAAATTGTAGCTGATAATTCCGTCTTTTCCAAGTGACTGTTTCCATTATACTCCAGTGGTTGAAGGTCACTTCATTAGCTGGAACATTCTCTATCAATTTTTTATATTATTTTTAAGCGATAGAATTCAAAAGCTGTTACGCAAGCTTGACTGAAACATCTAACACAATCGAAAAAAAACTTATAGACAGAAATTTTAGTGTGAAGCAATCAGAAAAATTGCAACAGATTCCATTTTTTTCATTTTACACGCTGAAGCAAACAAATTTTGATATCTTTAGAAACCAATAAAGTAAAGGAATTGCTATGTTTTATTCAGATACGCAGAGCTAGTCAGCATCCACGGAAAGCTAGACCCTCTCGTTCATGTTGACTTAACACCCGAGAAGAGAGTGAAGGTGAAGTTTACTTATGGAGATCTCGTCGAGGTAAATCACTATCTGTCGTCCTCCCAATTATTCCACTCCTATTGAATAAATTCTTACGAATTGATTATTCTGAATAGGTACGCAGTGTCGATGTGTACAGAACAGTATTCGAGCTGAAGACGAAATTGGAGTCGATGGTGAAAATTCCGGCCAATAGAATGAGACTTTTCTACGTTGATCAGGTACAAATCCAATCCATTACTCCTTTTTATCCCCGGGAGAAGATTTACTGTCAGTAATCCCCGAAAATAGAATTGGAATACAATTTCTATACATTATTCTAAAAGGGATATCAATCTTTAGAGAAATTGAAATACCAATTCCGTCCTTAATTATTGTTATTTATGTCAATGATAATTGACTCGAGAAGAATTGGCTGCACCCAAATGAATAATAATGATCTGAAGCGAAACTCAATTTATATTAAAAAATATTTCAAAATATTTTCAAGAATTTATTTCATTATCAATTGGGAAATTAAGAAAACGATTGCCCTTTCAACATTCAGCTATCACTGGGAAGTTACGCAATACCAATAAAACGTTACGAAATTAATGATGAATAAAATATAAATTTCTCACTTTTAAATTGTTGTAATGAAATAGGTAATGAAAGCACAATATGGTCCAGAAGAGATGCTCTACCCGAATAAGCAGCTGTACAGATACAACATAAGAAACGGCGATGAAATAATAATCGACAGCAAGTTGAATCGTTTCGCATCGACGTCCAGCACCTCCTCAGTTCGATCCTAAATGAACTCTGGGTGTAAAAAAAAATAGAAAGCTGAGAGCTAACGACTGCCGTTCACGCGAGGAACGAGCACTTAATTCGTTGACTTCTCTTTTTACCTTCGCAATCACTCTCATCAAATTCGAGCATAAAACGTTGAATGTCTTCGAGAGTGTCACGAAGGAAGTGATTTAATTCTCTGTAAGATAGAATTATTGGAAAATCAGGAACAGCGATAGGAGATACAAACCCGCGACTTGATTCAGACTTCTGACGTTCACCATCCTGTATTCTTGTTATTTGTTGCCCTCGGTGTAGCCGAACATCGCCACAACTGGCACAAACTTTTTTTTGCATCTCAAGTAGCATGAAAAGTCGTGACTAACGACTCGTTCCCTCGAGTTGAAAACTTTGAGGAGCATTTTCGTCGGGATACCGACAACATGTAGGGATGAGACAGAATATTTTGTCGGTATTAGTAATTACAAAAATTGAATATTTTTGTAGAACGATGATGAAGCCATTTTTAGAAGGAAATCCAAATGGTGAATTAACTGTTTGTAATATATTCCAAGTGATGTCATGATTGACACGAGTTGTAATGAGAAAATTTGTCGTGGTTGACGAGTGCTTGATGGACAGTTTCAATGGGTATTTTTTTCAGCATAAATACTCTGATGCCGTCGTTATCATCCACTGACTAGGGCAAATGGATCTAACAATTTCATTAGTCGACAACGAAATTTTATCAACTGAATCAAGAATTTGACAATTGACGTGTTGTTAGTGTTTTATCTCGTCCGAAGCTGTTGATTCTTGTGTTCTAAGACAAATCGCTTCCTAGAGTCCCTGAACAATCTACTGCCAGCTGTAATTGCAGGAATTACGATAATTCCAAATAATTGGAGAGCAATGTAACAATCGAAATATGGATCAATGGGACCAAGGAATGCGATCGATTTCTCTTCGAATAAAAATTTATGAAAAGAAAATGGAATGAAAGGAAATCGATGAGTGACTTTTAGTGCCTATCTGATAACATTATTCGGACGCGTTTAACACTGCCCTGTAAAAATGTATAACCATCGGTCCAACTGTAGAAAATGTACGGTAAAATGCAATGACCGTTTCCACTGTAATTTAATTAACATGAGAACGGAGAAATATGTTGAGTGAGGGGGAGTAACGCCAGGGCAGACGAGGTTGCGCCTTGGCGAAGACGTAAGAGCCTCGTCGTCACGTCTAGTCTTGGAATTTTACAAGCAAAAAGGGACAAAAAATTCACCTTCATTTCTTCATCATTATCCATGAATCCAGTGATGCAATATGAATTGTTGTCCCTTTTTTTGTGCTGGCGCAAATGTACGTACTAACTCGTAATAAAAACATTCTTAATAAATACCTAAAACGAGCGATGTTTTCATTCATTTTTCATCATGATGAATATATATAATTATCGAGCTGTCTTCATTATTTCTTAACCAAGGATTTCAGGTAATTATAAGTCATTTTCTCAAATTACATCGGGAAATTCCATCGTACCTTTTCAAATAATTATAGGCAGTGGCAATGCCGCAAGGATGCATAAATTATCGAGTATTTTTCGATAAATTCGTCGCTGACTAATTTTGAAGCTCGTGGTATCGGAATGTTCTACTCGGTTTCCATGTATGAAATTATGCATATAGATTTCATTAATTAAAAATAATCGATTCACCCCAGAAAATGAATTTCAAAAAAGATAAAATTAATTTTTTAAAATTGATATAAAAATATATTAAAATCGCAGTCAACTTCTACTTCAAAAATCCTTGACGAAGAAATGGTACATTCTCAATAAAAGGCGTAAGTAAAGCGGTTTACACTAAAAAAATATATCAATTATATGTGCATACATATATTTCCGGTGAAACTACATGTTCCATACATGCCACATGCAATTAAAAAATCACATATTTTTTTGTCGAACAAAGAAGATGCAGCCCCTAAAGAAATTTTTCTATTCACCCAGGAAATTCCCCCTGAAAAAAAGGCACCCCTTGGTGCCGCCTCTTATCCCAGTGTTTCTCAATCCGAATGCGCTCTGAGGTAAATACCATCCTGAAGAACACCGTTGAATCGATGACTGGCACCCCATCGTCATCCCCCACCGATTCACCGAAAAAACAACCCCCAACGCATGCGCCAGTAGAGGGGAGAACAACTCGAATGTCCTCGAGAATCCATGGCTTACGCTCGCATAACGCAACCGTCCACCCCTTGACTCAACACCAACAACCACCAACAGTTGTGATCAGGGGGATGATGTGCCAGTCGCGTTGTGCCAGCGTGCCAGGATCCCCCGATAAAGCAAAATACCGACAATAGTAAAGTGGGGGGGTGGGGGCG